GTTCCTGTATGGTATTCATGTAAGTGTGTTCATGTAACAGGTAAGTATATGTAAACATATTCATGTATCATGTATTCCTAAGTACGTGTACTCATGTATCATGTAAGCTATTTGTATAGACTCATGAATGAACTAACTCTTGTGTGATTCCTTGTAGTAGGAATAATGTTTGATATCTTCTATCTATCCCTATGATAGTTAACTGGAAGGTAAGTAGTTGTTCAAGTAGATTTATACAGCCTCAACACACCAGGGTGTGGGAAACTGAACGAAGGATGAAAACTATAAACTTTATCATATAAATGAACATATGCGCATAAGTTTAGTTGATTCAAGAAGGTAAAATAATGGTTTTGCAAGTTATTTAGGAGTTTCGAACAATAATTAAGAATGACTTGCTGTCATTTTAATAAACATTTCAAAACTAATACTTTTGTTATCAAGGTATTTTAAGATAGAAAACCATTTTATGCATCACATTTTGTAGTATGTGAAATCTGCTGAATGAAAACACAGTTATAAAATACATAAGATTGATTTAATAGCATATTGTTTTCTACTTGTATTCCCCCCGTTAATTCATTTAAAATCATTCAAAACATTGATTAGGGGTATGAACTCACCTGTAGTTGGTGATTGGGATGAACTGAACGGTATAGGATTACTAGGTGTCAAGCGAGGACTTGTACACACACTATGATCCTAATGAACATATAATCACACATATATGCACTCAATTAGTCTCAAATCACTAATTGATAATGTTAAGACATCCTAGACATAAGAAACACTTTATATAAGTGTTTTAAGCCCTAAGGATTGCATCTAAGCTATTGTGGGACAAGGCACTTGTGTTTAGGGTTCCAAAGGACCCTATATGTGAGTTTACTCCCCACATACCATCACACATGGAGTTTACAGTTGTAAACTCTTGAGTTTACAGCCGTAAACTCCCAACCATGGGGGTATTGTGTGTTTTGAAGTCCCAAATGATTCCTAGAATTATTCCAACTTGGTGGTTAAGTCCTTGGAAGGGTTTAAGGTCTAGAAATACTCGAATTAGGAGTTTATGGCCCTAAGGCCATTTCCTTTGGAGTTTACGGTCGTAAACTCCATTGGAATGGTGTTCTTTTTGTTTTCAAGCATCAAGCATAGGTGGTATAAGTCCTAGGCTTTTATTCCAAACATATGAAGACATTAGGCACACTTTGGTGCCTTTTTTTCATGTTTACGGCCCAAGAACAAAGCCTTGGCTGTAAACTCTCTTTGATAAGTGATTTTGATGTGCTTAAGGCCTTAGATTAAATGGGGACAAGTCTTGATAATAGTCTTAAAGCTTTATGTGCCTTAAAACACCATTTTGAGTTTGAAAAGGGAGTTTACGGCCTAAGAAACTCTTGGGCCATGAACTCCCAAAATTGGGTGATTCTTGGTTGTTTTCTTGTCCTAAATACATATACAAATGAGTCTAGGGCAGTTGCATAACACAATGGTCAATCTAGGCTTTGTTTCGGGAGTTTACCGCCCAAGAACACCTTGGGGAGTAAACTCCTAAATCTAGTGATTTTGCCTTCTAAATCATGTTATGTACACGTATAAAGCTTTCTAACATTACGATAAAGAGTTACCCACGTTTTGGTATAAAAACCCGAAGATCCGTGAGAGAGAAAATGGCTTTTCTCTAGTTGGAAATGTGAATAATGAATGAATTTGGTTCAAAATTCTGTTTATTGTCCTGAGATATTTTTTGTAGAAAATATGTTTATTCCTGAAATGATCTCTAATAAAATAGAGTGTTGGAATAACAGTGTTGCACAAGACCCTAGTGCACCCACTCTCCTGATATTTCCTGAAGTGTAAACCCTGAATTACTCAAACATACGCGAAAAAGTCTGAAAATTAACTGTGACTATTATAACTTCATTTGAAGTGATATAGTTTGTACAGAATGGAAATTTCAGGTTGTCACAACAAACAATATAGTGCTCCCCATGGTGAGAAGTTTGGCCGGATAAAAGCCTTTTACAAGAAGTGAAGTTTACTGGATAGTTCATGCATTTGATATGGTGCCAAACGCTAAGGAGATCTTGTCACTAATGTTGCACCCGAGATTAGGTCAATTTGGAATTCGACCTATCTGACCGAAGGTACTCCAGGTAGATCTTCTGGAAATTTGTCCTGGTAATCGCACACTTGTAGTATGCCTTTCATTTCCTTGCCCTTGCCTTGCATATCCACCATATAGGCTAGGAAAGCGAAGCATTTCCTCTTAAAATACTTCCCTGCCTTCATGAAAGCGATGACCCTTAGGTTCTTCTCTGGTTTATTCAAATAAATCACAAGGGCTTTGTTTTTTGGTAAAGGCATTCGAACGAACCTTTCATAACATAAGATTTCCTCTCGGTGTAGTGATAACCAATCCATTATGATGAACAGATCGAGACTTCCAATGATCATTATCACTAGGTCGACATGGAAGACATAATTGTTTGTGGTGAGAAGGCAATTCGTTAGTATTTCTGAGGTACTTTCTATTTGATCATTTGATACTTCTACCGTGTATATGTAATTAATTTTGCATGATTTATGATTTACCATTCCTCTAAGCTTATGATAAATAAAGTTACTATCAGTACAAGTGTTAAATAATACAGAATCATAAATATTGTTGATAGGATACGTACCATTAACCACAGTTGGTTCCTAGCATGCATCTGCTTCACCCATCACAAATGACTTTCCTTTACCACCTTGGTTCTTCAGTTTAGGGAAATCCTTCTTGAAATGCCTTGGTTACATTCAAAGCAGTTTCAGCTCCCCCTATAGCAATGGTTAACATTGTATTGTTTGGGGCCTTTTTGCAAAACATAGAGGTAGGGTCCGTGAAATTGTAGATGTTGTAGATCAAGCAGTTTCCAACATAGTGGAAGTTGCATTTAGTACAATAGGGTAAAATTCCAAATTAGGGCTTTGTTAGATTGGGAGTGCTTGTGATTACGGAATTTGCAAACATAGGTTCTTGATTAGGCTTGATATGATTGAAGTTCCCTTTCGATTTCCCATGGAACTTCCTTTTTGTACTCCTAGCTTGGTTCTTCTTCTTTGGTGGGGCCATGGTACCTTGATAGATACACTGTTATGTAAACTAATATGCCAATTCCTTAGCACTATCGATAGTGGATGGTTTAGATGCACTAACTAGACCATGGACTTGTGAAGCTAGTCCCCAGATGTATGTTTCCATCTTTTTGTCTTACACCGTCAACATTCTTGGGTAAAGGTTTCCAAGATCATTGAATCGAAAGGTGTAGGCAGCCACCTCTGATCCGTGCATGGTCAGATTCCAAAGCTCATATTCTAGAGCCCAAATTTCTTATCGTCGACAGTACTCCTTGATCATCATCTGAATAAGAGGTTCGCAGCCAATGGCATAACCTTCATTGATTCCCATGGATTTTTCATGATTGTTCCACCAAGTAAGGAAAAAATCCATATTAGTGTGCAGGTAGGATACTTGACTTGACATTCATCAGGGGAATAGCCAATGTGAAATACTGCCTCCATCTTTTCTTTCCTAGAGGATAATAACCACCTCCTTCCATGTCGTATAAGGATCGAGGTTTATAGCCCAAGAAGTCCATGTATGAACAAGTTCCAGATTTTCTTTGGTTAAATACAGGAGTGTTGCAACCATTTCTACTATTCCTAATATTTTCATTCTGGGCAGCCTTGTATGTAGCTAAGATTATACCAATGCCTTAGGAAAGTAAAGTTTTCATTAGAATAGGAAAGATATAAATGGTGAGTTTGAGGCACTTATAATTGGTGGGGTTTCAATTTTTCCAACTAGAATTTATCCAAAATTTGGAGTCTCTCTTGATGTTTGAGTTACCGCTGGTGCACCTCTTTGATTGCCTCGGGGAGTTAGTGGTGGACAAACTCATAGATTTTTTTTCGTGGAGGCATTATCCTAATATGTTTAGATGGATGCGTTAAGTTGTTTTACACTATGTAGTCATAAACAAGTTGTATTTTATGATTGTGTATTAGTGTAATTTGTTTCTAAAATTTTTCAGATTTCCAAATCATAGAATGAGAGTTTTAATCAATGTTTTTAATAGAGGAATGATAGTATGCTACAAGCAATACAAATGACAAGTTTCAACGTTTAAAAAATATTTAAAGTAGTTTCATATATTTTAACTACCTGTTTTCGGTTACAATGGTACCAACTAAATAAGGTTAGAAATAGAAAAGCTTTACAAACTATCATATGAAAAACATGCAGTGATAAACACTTCAAAACAGAAGTTATTCTTCAAAAGTTATAACCCTACTCTAATGCACAATCCAACCTAGATGAAACATCTATTATGCAAAATACAAAATCAGATATAGGACTAGTTCACCAAATTGCTGCTAGATATGACATCGGACTTCTTCGGAAATAATTGCCTAATGCTCAGTTCAATCCATTCGACTCTTAGCAATCTGGATTTGGTATACTAGATCCCTATAATGGGCACCCATATTTCTCACCTCAATGCGAGTGGAACCTATATTAAGACAAAGTGTATGGATAGCCATACTTTCCACCTTATTCGCTCCACAAGTCTTTCATCATGCTACTCTAGTGTAGTAGAGCCTGAACCTTTAATGAGACCATCTAAGGATAAGACTCGATCAGATAGTTGGTTTCTCCAATTCATAAAGTAGGGGATTGGATCATTCTCAAGGTCGTGCACGATTAGTGTCTATGGCGGAGACTTAGAAGAGTCGCCAATATCAGATTATGGAGGGAGGTTAGTAATTTTCCTCCTACGAAGGCAATTAGGAATCCAAGATGGCTCATAGGGCGTAGTCCATTTCTCCAGTTGACCATAAGTTGGTCGAGAAACATGAGCAAGAGGGTCCATGTAGTATATAGGAGAAATGCTGATCCTCGGGGTCCTCACTAGTTATGGACCCTTACCAACATGACAATAAGGATGATAGTATGGCTAGGGAAAAGAGGATGGTGGAGTAGGCGTGGTGGGTTCCTCGTTGTTAAGACCCTCCTCATCCTGAATGGGGTCGTTATCATCTATTTCATGGGTATCCTGAAGTATGCCCTCATCATATGAAACTTTAGCCTCCTCTATATCATTGTCCTCCTCGTCTTGTGATAGATCCTCTTCCCCCGAGAGGTCTGTTAGGGTGGTTGGAGTGTTCTCAAGTAAGTATGGATCTTCGACTAGCTGTATCGAGACCCTTTGAAGCTCATCTGGGTCCGCAATATCCATCCAATTTGGATGCTCGTCAGGTAAATACGCCATCTACATAAAATGGTTTTAAGTGTGTTAGTACGTTTTTAAATGTATTAGTGTTGTAAAATTGTATAAGGGTTTTCAAGGTTTACATAAATTTTCTAAGGTACTAAGTATCTACAATGATTCTTTAGAACATTCTTCAATCTCTTAAACTCTCAACTATTTTACCGGCCCATCCATAAATAACATAGGTGTATGTTCCAGGTTTATTTGTGGTATGGCTTATGTATGATACTAACCTTAGTCGAAGCGTTTTATGTACATGGTTGAGTTGGTAGTTTTAGTTGAAGAGATGCTTAGACTTTTAATAAGTGTTCTCATCGCGGGTTAGAGTATATATATATATATATATATATATATATATATATATATATATATATATAACTTTTATATGTAATTATTGGTGATGTTTGTAGTATTATTATTTTTTGTTTTGTACTCCAAGACTACCAAGTACGGACAAGGGCTAGGCCAGGTAGTAATTGTCACACCCCGAAACCGAAGGCGGAAACGTCTCGGGGCGGAGGTGACTTCATGAGAATCATAACCAATGTACATAGTAAGCGAAGTAAAACACAAACATAAATATTACATAGATTTCATTACATCAGTTGAAAAGTAAAGTAGTACAAGTTTTCATAGATACATAGTTTCAACAAAAGAAAGACGAATCTTCTATGCATTCCGTCTTCGCCAAAAGAGATCATCGGGTACCTGTCTAAAGCGGACCTGAGAATACAAGCAGTTTGAAAATCAGCATAAAGCTGGTGAGTTCATAAGATGTTTACTTTGTGAAAATGTACGAGTTTCCTTTAGTTTACCGAAAAGTTATTATCCAATAAAATCCTATATTTTCTTAAAAGAGAAGTTTGATCGATTTCTAGGTTACACGGTTCTGGTTGTTTATCTATGATTTCAGGAAAGTCCCATACTTTCCTTATTGTATATTACTAATTGTAAAAGATGTAATGTTATTCAGTTTGTTACTATTTCTAGTTATATAAGTGTTACCCAGGAAAGCCCCATGCTTTCCTGCATGTTGATTTCTAATGTGAACGATGTTAAAGATGTAAAAGATGTACATGTGATTAAGTAATGTTATGTTATTGAACTTCGATATACTGATTTATTTCTTTTCATACCTATTGTATTAACTAGGTATTCTGAAAGTCTAATGGTATTATCTTGGAGTATACTATATACATATCTTCATATTCGTGTTCTTATTCTTAAACATATTCTTGGACTTATTCGTGTTCGTATTTGTGTTCGTTACTGTATTCGTTTCCTTATTCCTATTCCTATTACTATTCGTATTCGTATTCGTATTCGCAGTCGTATTCGTAGTCGCATTCCTATCCCTAATCCTACTCCTAATACTATTCGTATTCGTATTCGTATTCGCAGTCGTATTCGTAGTCGCATTCCTATCCCTAATCCTACTCCTAATACTATTCGTATTCATATTCGTATTCACAGTCGTATTCGTATTCGCAGTCGTATTCGTATTCGTTCTGTTCCTAATTATAGTTTCGTATTCGTTCTAATCCTAGTTATAGCTTCGTATTCGTATTCGTATTCGTAATTAGTTATAAATGGAAATTAGTATAAGTTATTCTTAGATTATGAAACATAGTTTAGATTAGAACATTTTACCGAGAAATCTATGATTAGTTTGAAAGCTAAATTCGTAATTCGAACTACTTGATAAACACAGTTATTGATATTAGAACATACAGAATGAAAATGATTAAACTGAAAACAATAAGTTTGAGTACAAGATTTCCTTGTACTTTTGCTTGTATTCCCCCCCTGAAAACAGTGAAAACAGTTGAAAAAGGGTAGGGGTATGAACTCACCGGACGCGGAAAGTGTCGAATGGGATGCTAAACGTTGAACCGAGGCTTGAATACGAGCGAGGTTCCTATGTAATATTAAATAATACACAATATATATCTAATTAGATTTAAATAACTAATTAGATACACTTGAACAATCTAAGACGCGAAAACACTCCAAAATGGCCGTTTGAAGTGACCCAGGTGGTGTTTTAGGACATGAATGGCTAGGACTTAGAGTTTATTCTTCAAAGATAAACTCTTAGGGAGTGTTTACGGCCTAAACACCACATCCCCATGAGTTTACGGCCGTAAACTCATGGTAGGTGTTTTTATGAGGAAAATGGCCTTAAATCAAATAATGGGTGTTGCTAGGTTTGGCTTTTGGACATTTGAAAGGGATTAAATCATTATATGGATTAATAGAAGAGTTTATGGCTATAAACTAAGAGTTTACGGCCATAAAATCTTACCCACATCCATCTAAATTAATTTGAAGGCCAAGGATTAATCACATGTGATTCAACTAATTTTTACAAGGCTTTGGGTGAGTTTAGGGCTTCAAATGACATACATCTATGAGTTTACGGCCTAGGAGCATATGCTCTGGCCGTAAACTCTCATTTAGAGGGTTTATGATGTGTTTAAGGCTTCTAAACTTTTTTTGGTTGGTTCCCTAATTTATTCCAAGGCTTTTGGTGGTGTTGGATGGCATTCTAACACCTTAGAAGTGATTTTATACCCATGTTTGAGGAGTTTACGGCCCAAGCATATGCCTTGGCCGTAAACTCACATAAACCTCTCAAAATTGATGTTTAATGAGTTCCAAGTCCATTACATAATTTCTAAAAATCATAACTAGGGCTTGATTGAGTTTAGGGAGGGTTTAAGGGCTTAAAACCCCTTTAAATGTGAGTTTACGGCCTAGGCACCTTCAATGGCCATAAAATCATATACAATGCTTCAAGTTATAGTTTAAGGCATTCTAAGTCCATTCCATAAAGACATTTAGCCATGTCTAAGGTCCATTTGAGGTTTGCAAGGGTTTTGTTGCTCTAAAAACCCCATTTTCTTGAGTTTACGGCCTAGTACTGTTCTAGGGCCGTAAACTCATAATAATGGTCCTAATCAAATGTTCAAACTCGAATTCTAAAGCTAGAGAGGTTGTACAACAAGTTATGGAAGGTACCTCAAAGATTTGGAGCCTTAAATTGATAATTTGGACCCTTAACTTTGGATTTAGGAGAGAGGTTAGAGAGAGAGTAGAGAGAGGAAGAAAAAAACTTCAAATGGGTGCTTAAACACGTTTATATAGGTCCAAAGACTTGGACACGGAGGAATTCTACCCGATACTCACCTTAAATAGGGCTTTTGGTCGCACCCGATTAAGTTGTTGTTACGCGATATGGTCGAAACTATAATTTTTTTTTTCAAATTACTAGTTCGGGACGTTTTCACATTTTTCCAACATGTTTTGATACTTGCAAAGTCAAAATAAAGGTTTTGACTTAATTAACCTAATTTAGGACGAATTCGGAACAATTCGTTTAAGACGGGTTTTGACGGAATGGTTACGGCGAGGAAGCAAAGTTTCGGGTTGTTACAGTAATGGAGGGCAGTTTCATGTTAGAAATAAAGCTACTCTAACTCTAGCAACCTAAGTGGCCCTTCAAACTAATTCCTTCTTAGTGTGAGTTGCCAAGAAGTAGTGCAGTTAATAATAATAAAACTTTTATTAGGATCTTGTTGATATAGTTGCATTCCTCTTTCCAGGATACGAGTTCAGAATAGCTAATGTAGCCCTGATGCTAATATGTCACACCTCTAGTGGAGGCAGCAGAACATGACGAGCTTTGTGAAAAAGTTCATACATCAGAAGTGAACTGAATATATAACACAAGTACAAAAATAAACAAAAAATAAATAAATTCTATCTTTAATTTTGAATACATGGTTCTTATAAATAATAATAGTACATGAATTTTCTTAACTTGTAGGCAGATATAAAAAAAACTAGTTAACCTGATTACCTGAAATCCATGACTATCCGTCGTCTGCATGCTTGATAAATGATTACTGAGAATACATGTAGTTTTAAGGGTCAACACAAGGTTGATGAGAAATTATAGGTTTTCTGCTACCAACTTTAATACTTTTAAAAAGTACAAAAAGTATGTTCATTTGTAAGTAAAATCATACTCAAAATTGTGTCTGTAAAGAGCTTTTGAATAAGCTTTGAAAATAAAAAATGTATCATTACATAACTAAATCCATACTTAAAATAGTTTTTCAAGCAACCAAGCACATGGTTTGTAGTAAGATACATAGATTCTAGTTACTGTTTACATTGACTCCTATAACTGACTTATGTGACTGAATAACCCCTTAAAATGCTTCATTGTACGTCATAGTAACAATAGTAGATACTTATCACCAGCTTCGATTGATTTGTTGAGGTTGTAACTAGCAACCGCAGGTGGCGATGTCAACCCCGTATATATGTATACATACATATTGCGCTTTGAAGATAAATAGTTATAGTAGCGTGGGTATGCTAACTGTTTAGACTTAGCTAACGAATATATTCTCACTAAAAAGCCCTTAACTAAGGTATGTGAATAGCTCTCTACCCTAACTTATAAGTGGATAACTTTCCTGGGAAAATGAATTGTATGGAGTTTCTAGTAGCAGAATGTATCTGGTATGTATGTATGGTGTAAAGTACTCGCTTTTATAAAAACGGTATATATATATATATATATACGTATATGTGTGTGTGTGTGTGTTAATCCAACATTTTATAAACTAGTTATGGTTTTCACATAAAATGATAACATTTTATGATTGTTTTTGCATGAAATTGTATCGGTAAGAACAATTATTCTCCCCTAAAGCAAATAAATATATAAAAGAGGGGCTGTAACACTCACCTTAATGTGTGATTATCGGCTTGTTTCGAGAAACTTTATGTGGAAAACTACAACTTGTTGCTTCTAAAACAAACCACCAGGAGTAATTTAGTTAACTAATTAACCAAAAGAAAGTTTTGGTATAAATGAATAAGTATGGGGTTGTTTTGTAACATAGCTTAACTATAGGGTTATTTTTCTAAAGCAATTCAAAATGTGTTGTTTAGTCGAACCTAACCAACTAATGGTTTATTTTGAT